TTGCGGAAGCAGAATTTTAGGTTTATTGGTAATAATAATAAATAAGTAAAAGTAATATTATTACCTATACAAATTGGTTGGCGTATAGTTTAATTTATACTTTTGCAATTCACAAAAGTTCACAACTTGTAAAATATTTAAATACATTCTAAAACTCTACCATACTATGACAATTTACGTTTTGAATTATGTGTGTATCCATCGATTTTATATATAACACCTGTTAACTGTCAATGTTTTTGCTGTTGTTAAACTTATGTCATGTCTTTTTGTCGTTGTTACACTTTTATAAAAATTTTAAATTTGTATACAAATTTTTGGTGAATTACAATATTTGTATGCAGTATATTGCATTGTATTTTAAGTTCCTAATTCTTGTATCAAATTCTTAAAAAGGTATGAACAATTCATATGCATTATGGATATTTGCTTATAAAAATAAAACATATAATATTTTTCAGATGGAATCCATGTCATTAAAAAAACAAGCAGAACATAAAAAAAAGAAAAAAAATGAAAAAAAAAAAAAGTTTTTAATGAAACCGGACGGAGAAATACTTTTTTTATTAAGGAGAATAGTAATGCACTTTGCTTAATTTGTAGGGACTTTGTGCCAGTTTTTAAGGACTACAATTTAAAATAACATTATAGTCAAAAGCATGCCGCAAAATATGATGTATATTTTGGCATTTGCTGTAAAGATAAAATAACAAAACTAAAAAAAAAAGGCTATTGTCTGAAAATTTTTTTTAAAAAAAGACAGTTTCTCAAAATAATAATATTGCAAAAGCAAGTTATGACGTAGCAAATTTAACAGTGAAAAAATCAAAAACCTTTATTAATGGCAAAGTTATAAAAGAATGTATGGAAAACGCAACAAACATAATTTGCCCTAAAAAAAAGTTGGATTTTTCTAAAATCAGTTTATTACACCAAACTCTATCCACAAGAGTTGGGGAAATCAGTTGAAAAGACATTAAAAAGCAAATGAATTAATTTTAAATTTTATTCGTTACCCATGGACGAAAGCACCGGTACTTCTGATACGGCACAATTGACAATCTTTACCAAATGAATTGATGAACATTATAATATCACAGAAGAAATAGTTGCTTTACTATCGTTAAAGGACACAACCAAGTTTGTAGATTTATTCAATGCATTAAAAACGACGATGAAAAGGTTTTCCTTATCTATGAAAAATTTATAGGATTGCCACTAAAAGAGGAGAATGAAATTCCCTGACTTTTCCAGGTTTGTTTCGAGAAAATTCCAGTCTATCAGCATAGTGCGCGTTGCCTGCGCTGAGAGGTAAATTAATTATGGTACCACTTGAAAACACAAAAATTAGCCAATTGCATATGACTTATTATATATATAATCTCGAAAGCATTACTATTATAGCTATAATAGTTGTTTTCTCCACTGAAGATTGAGATTAGAATCTGCCCAACCTGGATTAAAAAATGAGTTTTTTGCAAACATTTTGCAGCTAAACGAAAGAAAGAAATCTATTTAATGATATTTTTAAAAATAAATTCAGGTTACTAATTATTTAGCAGCATACATAAGCAAAAGTATGTACATTAAATTTCGTGATAGTATGTCAGATACTGCTAGATTTAGTTTTAGAATTATGCCAGAGAAATTCGAAAGTATTATTAACTAATAATAAATAAATTTAGAGGAAAGAAGAACATTAAAATGAAGTTAATTACTTAAAAATTGAATTACAATAATCAATGATATTTTGGCGAATATAGTCATACGAAATGTTAGCCTAGATGACTGATTACTATTTTTTTATTTTACTGCAAAATGAAAAAAGTTTAAAAGATTTTGCGGTAAAATACTAGTCTTCGCCTTGGTACAATTTTGAAAACTTCTGCCAATACCAAAATGACCGTTTTGCTGCCCAACACCTTCTTAAATAGAGACTAAGAGACAGCTCATCATAAGGTTACCAAATCCCATGTGTACCGTACATTGAGGTTATAAAAAATATGTATTGTTAAGATAAAAAAAACTTCTCTGCAACAGGAACAGCTAGGTCCCAACGTAGAGGGAAACAGCTGTGTATGTGCGAAATATCTGTTGCTGAAGCTCGCAAAGTTCAAGTTTATCAAGAATACATAAAACGAATATCGTTTTAAATTTCTTTAAACTTTAAAGAAAAAAATATTTTTTCGCGCAATTAATTAATAGATTAGTTATTTTGACCAAAAAAAAGTACGAAAATCCGAGTATCAATTATTGCGAAAGTTAAAGAACATTTCTTCTTAACACATGCTCCACAATTTCCTATATACATCGCGGAGGGGAAAATTATTGCCGTCAGGTTCCGTCGCCAAATCCACTTGGTGAGTTTTTCCTTCCGCTTTCTAGCGGCACTATAGCAAACTGATTTATATTACGTCTATGGAACCTTTCTTTACATAGATGTTCTTACATTAGAATAGAGTACATGGGGGCTATTCTAGCCTCCATGGTACTGTACACTAGGATCAAACCGATTTTATTGTATACAAGAATGGGATGATATTTTCTTTAGTTCAACATGCACTGCATATGGGAGACTTAGGATTCTCGAAATTACTGGAAACCAAACTTGCTGGAAACTTGTTTTGCCTTTCTAAAAGACAACCTGATTGGGAGCTGCGAAAATTGGATCTGCGGCAGCCCAAAGAACGTATTTGCGCCAGCTGCCCGAATGACACTCATAATTAACCAACAAAGTAATCACTTCCAACGTTGGTGCAAAATTTGCATTTTTGGAGATCGCCGTATGACATTCCCTGACTTTTTTGGTCAATTTTCAAATTTCCTGACTTTTTCCAGCTTTCCAGGTAACATGGCAACCCTGACATGTATTTCTAGCTATTAAAATGCTTCGAAGGACGTAAGTATTCATGTTTTCATATTTCTAATTATTATTCCTATATTATAGCATAAAAAAATATATGTCTCCAAGTCCTTACCCAGCCTTTATTTTTGAAACTGTTGGTCCCACTTCCAGTTATTAAAACATTTTGAATGACATAAGTATTTATGTTTTCACATTTTTATATTAAAAATAATTTTGCATAAAATATGAAATAAAAAACCTTGTATACAATCCTTTGGCATCTATTACTTAATTTACGAAAATTTTATATTTGTTACAAAAAACAAAACACAGAAAGTTTGACTGCCATATGAAAAAAATTGAACAAGACAGCTAAATTCAAAATTTTTGGTTATCGATATGGTTTTTTTACTAGTCTTAAAGGTGGTTGAGAAAACTGAAGGGCTGCTTAACCCCTTAACTGCCGCGGGCGTATATATACGCCTTGCTCAGCCGATGCGTTAACTGCCCCATGCGTATATATATTTCCTTCCGAACTGCTATCATTTGCTTTGCGCTGCTACACCTAAAATTATTCGTGAATAATAAAATGCTAAAATTATTCTATGCCCTGCTGCTAAAATTATTCGTGAATAATTTTAGCAGCAGTTAAGGGGTTAATAAATAAATAAGGATATTTCAAGGTTGATTTTCTCTCCTCTTTAAATGCAATTCAGTAATATTCTTTTGTGATTTACTAATGTGTAACATTCCTTAATTTATAATTTTGTTATAACAGGTATGGCAATAAAAAGTTTCACACAAATAACTTATTTCGAAATATTTGTTAACAGTCTCATGCAGTATTATTATATCATACAAAAATCTCACTAAACTAGCAGTATTTAAAACTTTTAATCTATGCAAATAATTTTATGAGCTGACAATATTGTGCCAGTGTTTTCTAAAACAAGAATTATATAAGATTCCAAGAGTAAAAGCTCTAGCTTCGAAAAAAATTATACTAATCCATAATAATATGCATAGAAATGCCTATAATTTAATTTGTTAATAACAGAAAATCTTTTCCTACACTGATATTTATTTTAAGTACAAATGCAAATGCTTTCACTCTTCAACTGTGTAAGCACCTGAATATAATGTCAATTTTAAAACTAAATATCTTTGTAAATTTTGTGTACAAAAGTCACATTTTTCGAAATGAGTACAGGGGGACTGAAGCAACATATAAAAAGAAATTAGATTCTGCAATTTTTATAAAATTGCTTCTTTCTTTTTAAATTGGGAAAACAGGAATATTTGCAAGTTTTAAAATTTTTAATTGGAAGTACACATCTATAACCAACATTCTCAAAAATAAAGGCTACATAACAACCTTTGTGGAAACAGAATAAAGTACTGTTTTTGTTTAATTTTGTAAAATAATGTTCATAATATTTTTTTTTACTGCCAACATAAATCACTGCCCAGATGGGATAGTGATTAATGATGCTGACTGCCACACTAAATGTCTCGACTTCATATCCCAGAGAAGGCATAGATGTTTGTAAATGTAATTTTCTGCTTGACAAGAGGGCACTCAAAATACAGGGTGATCAAAATTCTTGAGAGGTTAGTGATAAGGAAAGAAGTTTGGGGAGGCTCTTGAGCCACATCCTACAGTGTTCTCCCTTGGAATCCCAACAGGGATGGAGACTTTTCACAGGTCTGATAATATTTAATACGCTTAGCTCAAAGCATAGATGAAAACCTTGCCACTATCTGTACCTATTCATACAAATCAGCTACATACCTAGAAATTTAATTTAACTCCCTGAATGCCAGCCATAACCACCTTCAACCAGTCATGAAATTTTTTTGTTGCTTGGTACATATTAGATTATAATTTCATATATTTTGCATTTTTTAATAATATAATGTATTAATGAATTAAGTTTATGAAAACAGAGACTACAGTAATTAAAAAAATTTATCTAATAGGAACTGTTTAAATGCAGGTTCTCATGAGAAGATCTAAAAAGCCATACTGCTCAGAGGATTAATATAAAAAACAGAAGCAAAATTTTTTATTCTAGAAGTAGAACACGATTGTACGAAATGTTTAAACATAACAAAAAATATTAAATAATATTCAGACTAAAAAAGAAAAATTTACCTTCGAAAACTAGATATGCATCTTTAGGTCTACCAGCACGTAAGAAGATATCAATAGCTCTAAAGACTATCTTATATGGAAAGATAAAAAAATCTTCTTTTAATACATCTTTTTCACAAACCTCTTCATTTATGACAGGCATCTGTAATTCATAGTAGTTAATATTATAAAAATGTAAAATGTGAAGAACATGAACAGCAGATGATAAATGTTCTTTGTAATCTGCATTTAGCATTAAACATGTTCCTAGTTGTCCAAGGAGTGATTTATACTCAATACAAGGCTCCTCCATACCTAAAAAATTAATTCCATTATTTGGTTTACAGAAACAAACTAATAATTCTCATGACAATTAAAATGATAATGTATCATGCATTAAAAGAAAAAACTGCATATGCAGGAAAATTATTTCATTCATTAAAACAGCAGAGATTTAAATGTGGCCAAACCCTTATCTGTATAAGGAAAATGCTTTTTTCTCGAGTGACACTCATTTATGTTCAGATTACAGTAACGAAAAATTATGGAAATATCAACCAGCCCACCCAGGCGAAACTACAAGTGCTTTGTGGAAATTCATTTGTTTCATAAAATTATTTCATTAATCCTTCAATATTCTCTTAGGATTTTCATATTGAAACATGTTTCTATCTCTCTTTTCCAATTTATTCACAACTACTACAAATTACTTAATTAACAATTCACAACTTCTTGCTAATTGTCCTCATGAACACTTTATTCCCTATGAACGTTTCTTCACTTTATTCCGTATGAATGAAATTTTTAAAATACATACATAATCCTTAAATGCATGCAGTAGTCATTTACCCACATACTCATATTTAGTCACGTAAATCAAATCAAAACACAAATTTTAGCTTACTGCATAGTGTAACCAACTGGATACATACTGTTTATGTATACAGTTTTGAAAGTTTCAGTGTGGTGGCACTTCTAACGGTGAAACAGCAATTATTGTGAGTTGATGCGTAGGGTGTGGACATTATTTGTGTTCACGAATTTTTGATTTTGCATTTGTTGTTATTTTGATGTATTCAAAGTTTTAAAATTGTTTGAACAAGTTGTTATTACACATATTTTTTTGAAAAAAGTTAATATTTTTCAAAAATTGGAAAAGAAAGATTTTTTTTTTTTAGTATTTTTCTTATTTTATTTGATATTAAATCTAATGTATTTTTGACTTTAAACATAAAAAAAAAAAAAAAAATCTGAAAGCTTTCAGATTTTATATTACACCCAAAGAGGCACTTTTTTAATGTTTTGTGTGTTACCTTTATTTATTAAATATCATGTTCTTCACACTTAAACCATACAATTCAACTCAACAGCAATATAACAAAATACTTAACAAATAGAATATCTTTAGAATTTCTGATACACAGCCTCGTGCTCTGGAGATAAAAAACGTGATTTGCCGTTCATAGTAAATCAATGCAAAATGCCAAAACAAAATTATTAGCCCTTCTGGGAAAATTGCCCCTTTGGGCTAAACATAAAAATTCATGCATTTAAGGGTTAAGATCTGTTAACATACAGACAACAATATTTTTTCATTAATCTCAATATGCTACAATTATCAGAGGTGTCAAATCTCCCAATTTAGGCAGAAAATTCTAGATTTTTTTCCTAAAACCATAGTTTCCACCAACCTAATTTATAACACATTTCTATACGATTCTTACCATTCATAAGATTTTTATTTTAATATTTCATCATTTTCAACCAAAAAATGTGATTTTTGGCATGTAAAATCCTCCCCCCAGACTACGTACAAAGGAAAAGCAAAGCCATTTCACCATTGCGGCACATTGATTACTCCTATGTGTATCTGGAAATATCATGTGCTCCAATTTTTCAATAAGCATCTAATAAGTAATTTCTTGGCAAAATTTTGAGCTAAATGGTATGAGTTTCATGTGCTTAAAGATAGGTTTAAGAATTTGTTTATTTTAGCTGCATCTGTGGAGGGGGGATGTAAAACATTTACAAGTTTTATAAAAATTAAACACATAAACACAGATGACTTTTCTCGAATTTCTTTAAATATATGCAATAATTGAGATGTACACCTTTCGTCATATTGATATAAAAATCTTGCACAGTCAAATAATCGATGTTCTTAAAGTATGCCTAAGTACTGTTAGCAAAAACATGCCTTCATAGCAAATGCTTTAGACAAAACTACAAAACTTGCTTCTTACAGTTAAAATATGCTCCTACTGTTGGCAGTTGTACAAAAAATCATTCAAGTATTTTCTTGCAGAAAGGCACAAATTCTCTCTCTCTTTTTTAAATTTGTATTTAAGAATTAGTTTATTAGTTAGAAAATGCTTATTTCTTTCAGTATATTTTTAGTTTAAAATTTATTTTATTCCCAAATAATTACCCCCATTTTTGTGTCTAACTAGTCGTATGTTTGCTCTATTAATTTTTAAAATTATTAATTTTGATGCTTAAATCTCATTAAAAATTGTCAATTAATAATTTGTTAACAAATGTAACATATTTGACATTAAATTTCATGGCAGAAAGAGAATGATTATTTATTAATATTAAAAGTTAATTTACATACATATTTAAAATTTTAACAAGATACTCCAATCGTCCTCTATAGCAATTTTAATAGCAAAATACTGCTGGCAAATCCCACAAGCATATACTTTAAATACAATTTAAAACAATATCTGAATGTATCTATAAGTACTTAGAATACAAACAAACAAACAAAAAAAAAAAAAAAAGGGCAATGTTTGTTCTTAAAAAATGCGGGGTAGAATAATTGAGAATAATTGAGATGTACACCTTTCGTCATATTGATATAAAAATCTGCACAGTCAAATAATCGATGTTCTTAAAGTATGCCTAAGTACTGTTAGCAAAAAACATGCCTTCATAGCAAATGCTTTAGACAAAAACTACAAAACTTGCTTCTTACAGTTAAAATATGCTCCTACTGTTGGCAGTTGTACAAAAAATCATTCAAGTATTTCTTGCAGAAAGGCACAAATTCTCTCTCTCCTTTTTTAAATTTGTATTTAAGAATTAGTTATTAGTTAGAAAATGCTTATTTCTTTCAGTATATTTTTAGTTTAAATTTATTTTATTTCCCAAATAATTACCCCCATTTTTGTGTCTAACTAGTCGTATGTTTGCTCTATTAATTTTTTTAAAATTATTAATTTTGATGCTTAAATCTCATTAAAAATTGTCAATTAATAATTTGTTAACAAATGTAACATATTTGACATTAAATTTCATGGCAGAAAGAGAATGATTATTTATTAATATTAAAAGTTAATTTACATACATATTTAAAATTTTAACAAGATACTCCAATCGTCCTCTATAGCAATTTTAATAGCAAAATACTGCTGGCAAATCCCACAAGCATATACTTTAAATACAATTTAAAACAATATCTGAATGTATCTATAAGTACTTAGAATACAAAACAAACAAACAAACAAAAAAAAAAAAAAAAAAAAAAAAAAAAGGGCAATGTTTGTTCTTAAAAATGCCGGTAGTGATGTATAATGCAATCTACTACCTTTAGTTTAAATGTATACTAATAAATATTTCAAAGAATTTACAAATTTCAAAATTCTTTTTACTTACATAAAATACCTTAATATTTGTACATATATTTTACATTGTTCCCATAAATCAGAAGTTTCTAAATGGTATGCTGAAAAGAACGGGAAAATTATGCGAGGGAGAGAAATATGCAAATAAATATGGTATTTCTAAGTTGGTGCCACTAAAGTATATAAATACAAAAATCTAAAAATACATACACGAAAATAATTCTTAGCTCTTCATATCATATTTGATACACTGAAACAGAATAGAATATTTTTTCACATTTTAAATGTGCATAAATTATGTCAGAATGCTGTGAAACCTTATTAAATAGAAATCTTGAGCGTCAGTCTTGCTATGAGTATTATTTATTATTTTTTTCTAAAAATATAAAATGCATATCCAGTATTTCATGCAATTCAAGCGGATTAAAACTTTGTATGCAAATATGATACAGTATACGAAAGAAAATGATAACTGATATTTAAATTCATCAGTTTCATTATTACTAATATTGAACATCAGCTTTATTTTGAAAATTTTTTAACTGCAAATATTAAGATTTTCTGTTTACACAGTATTAAGTCCGAGATTCGGAATCATTTGAAAATTTCTAGGCTTTCTTTTAGATCATCAGTTTAAAAGATGCCATGTGGGCTTCCCACATTGATGCAACAGATAGAAAAATGCTACTCTCCACCACCACTGAAGGTCCAAAAAGTGTGATCCTGGCTAAAAATCAATGTACTGTCACTGGCCATACAGCTACTCCCTAGTCACTCTACAACCTAGCCAACAGGTTTCTGAAAATGATATCTTTCCTCAGTCAAGAGAAAAATCACATTTACAGCACACTTGCTTCCTTTTATTAACCATTCCTTGACTTTGAACATAGAGAGGATTTTTTAAAATTTTGTTTCATTTATTATTATTATTTTTTTTTTTATATTGGTCCAGATACTGGATGTTCGGACTTTAGACTTTGCACTGCATTACTGGGAGGGGAATTGAATACATCTTTGCTGTTTTCTAACAGACCACATTACCAGAACTGCAAACTAAGATGCTGACACATCTGTATGGAAGTATATAAGCAAGCTTGAAATTCAGTATATATCATTTGGGTTTAGTTAATGATTTGAAGTCCAATCCAGTCCTTCCTAATGCTTTTAAAATTCTACTATCTTAATTTAGTTATTTATGCCGATAGATGGCGTTACCTCCTCGCATTTGGTACTACCAGAGGGTATAAAAATCCGTTCAGTGGTTGCCTTCCATTATTTGAAGTTCAGATTTTGAGCGTAAGGTGCATTTGCCCCTCGCTCCCTATTTTAACTTCGCTAATTTTTCATGCTTGATCAGATAGCCTGGCTCAGTAAAAGTAGGCGGCCAGTGCAACTCTGATTAAAAATCTAGTTATAACCACGCGCAGTTCTGATAAGGATCACGTGTTTCTGTGACTCCTTCTCCTTTAATATCTTCTTTCTAGGTATTTCTTTCTCCTGATGAGGAGGGACCTTTAGCTGCCCTCGAAATAGATTGAGTGTTTCATTATACCTACGCTAAATACAAGGTTGTTTTTACGATTTTGATTGTAACATTAGCATGTTTCTCTTCTAGTCTAAAAGGGAACTAATTGAGGCTATAATTGTTTCCTGCCATCATGTAATAACAAAAAGAAGAGCTTAAAACTCTTGTCAGCTATAATTGTTTCCTGGCATCATGTAATAACGAAAGAAGATCTTAAAACTCTTGTCAGCTCAATGAAACGTTGATGTGAAGCTGTAATCAAAAATAAAGGGTACCCTACTAAGTACTGATAACTCACTGCAATCATCACTATCTAATGTATATCAATAACTATTATCGAACTTTTTTTAACTGCAAATAATTGAATTTTGTGTTTTGTATTGATTTCAGTAATAAATTCTCTTTAAAATGATATATACAGTCAAAAGTCGTTAATCCAGACTCGTCGGGGCTTCGGCTATTCCGGATTATCGATTTTTCCGGATTATAGATCATCAGTTTAAATCTGGTAAGATGGCATGCAGATATTATAAAATTAAAAATATGAAACCATAATTTATGAAATAAAGAACAATTATGATCTAAAAGGTATCAAAATTTACACACACAAAAAAAAGCTTAATATTTATTTGTTTTTACTTTATTAAACATTTCTTTCAATGTAAGTTGTTTAAGTTGCTTCTTTTTTCATGTGATAATACATTCTCTTTAATTCTATAAACAGACACAATTTCTTGTTCAGTTACAAAGTTCCGCTGTTCAAGTCCTATAATTGCTGTGTCTACCGACTAATTTGTCAATTGAAATTTTTTCGTTTTCAATAACCTCTGTCACTTTCTTCGCTATCGGAAGCGAATTATAATGACGAGGAATTTGATTTAAATCATATCAAAGACGGAGTACATCGAGATGAAATACTACATTTAGTAAGGAATTATAAGCCGAATAAAATAAAATCATCTGCCCTGAAGATAAGGATAAACCTGTCAGACCAACTTCCAATTCATTGCGCACCGCTGTGTTAAAGATAAACAAAGTTTAGATAAACAAACGTTAAAGTTTAGATAAACAAAGAATATGCCTTTACCCATTTTTGCAGCAATTCCACTTTTTGTTTAATGAACTTCGAAATATACTTTCGCTTTGTAGATCTTTTACATATTAATAAATATATATCAGAAATTCTATTTGACATAATCAAAAGTTCAAGCTTACTTTTATAAAATTGCTCTAACAGTCTGCAAAAATAATAAGCTGGATCCAATTCAAAGATTAAGGAACAACGCAATTTGCAACATTAACTGAAATAGATAATTAGATAATTTTAGCTTAGCTTATACCGTCCATTATACATTAAACGCGCACAAGCATATTCGCACCCGTAAAGGTCTCACGCGCATGCGCAGAATGTTTGTAGATTTGAGCTCCGGATTAAAAATCATTCCAGATTAAGGGTGTTCGAATTAACGCCTTTTGACTGTACAAGTTTGCATTTTGTGAAACGTTTTCTATAAGCATAAAAAGTTCAAAAACATAAAAATTTCCAAAAGTGTCCACAATTTTGGCCACCACTGTATATATGTTTGGTGAGCCCGAATGCAACCAAAAAGAGAGGTGCACAACTACATGTTATAGCAGTCCCAAATACAAAATTTCAACATTCTGAGGTTACTTGTTTGTAAGTTATGCAAAGTACGTACAGATGTCATGAAACAATTTCTTCTGAAGCTATTCTGGGGAGGGGGAAGAGTCCTTTATTCTATTTGTATGTATAAATGTTATGCAAAAACATGGTTCAAATGGATTTGAGAGCGGTCAAAATGGATATTTTTGTTTGAATATAACAGCCGAAGTTTTTTGCAATTACAATACTTCTTTTACAAAGTAAAAAAGATCTGAAATTGAAGCACACATAATCCTTGTTGAGACTTATGGCAACCATGCTTTGTCACAAACAAGCAGAGATTGGTTTAGATGTTCCATAATAATGATTTTTATGAATGAAATAATTTTTAATAGAAAAATGTTATGAAAAATTTTGCTTTTGAGTGCCAATATAAAACATGTAACGTAATATTGAATATTGTTATAAGTAATCAAGAACTGTATGCAGAGATAAAATATATTAAGATAAACTTTGCAGGTTATTACGTTAAGAAAAAATAGTAATTTTTCATATATAAGAATCATCATTATTTTACATACACTGGAGTGAAGTTTTAATTTTTTCAATATAATGGAATGTTTTAGTGCAGTTCAAAAAGGCTAATTGCCTTTAAAACAAGGAAAGGAAGCATTAATAAATAACTGCCTAGCATCCCTTTAACCACTGGTGAATTAACCCATCAATTCATTCAAGTGGATTTACCTAATAGTGGGTATGTCTGCCTTCGGAGAAAGCTGTGGGTCTTCAAGCTTTGTGCAAAATAAGAAAATTATCGATAACAATAAAAAGCATAATTTCAGTAATAGCATTTCAAATGATGTTAAAGTGTAAGTTAAAATAACAAAAATGAGTTACGTTAAAAAATTTTGAAATTTGTTATGACTATAAGCAATAATATTCAAAATTTTTACATTTGTAATATCACGTGAAAGTTTCTTAAAAGTCTTCCCTAAACAGAAATCATTATGAAGATTCTAAGCTTAATTGTGTCAAATTACTTCCAAATTTGATTTCCTTTCAATATGGCTTCTTTCCTTCTAACCAGGTTGTTTTCCGTTCAAAATTTGTTATTTATGTCCCCCAAAGCCTGGAGATGTAGAAAGGAAAACTTTAAACTATGTTTTGGAATCTGGCAAAAATACCATATTTGTAAAAGATGAAACTATATTTTTGATACACTAGAATCAAACTATGGGTATTACTTCTTACATCCCCTAATCCTCTACTTAGAATACAAGCAGTGATAGCATATGCTGTTGTTCTCCTAGGTATACTACTAATATTGAAATTAAATTTTTTAGGAGAGTCAGCTGTGGTCATGAATTCGTTGAGTGCTGCACAAGTCATTCTAGCTATAGTTTTAGAACAAAAAGCTACTACAGATATATTAAAAAAAATTATACATTATTATTGCAGGGTAATGTAAGTTTTCTTTTTATTTACTAAATTTTAAGACCTAATTTGAACACACAAGTTATTGATCTTAACTTGAACTTTGTACATTGAATTTTTTTTTTCAAATTTCAGTTACACGATTTCAAGATTTTTAAGGCCATAAATCATAATTAGAAACTGACATGTTTATGCAGTACTAAAAACCAGTTATCTTGCATAAAAGGGTCCACCGGCACACAAGTAGTAAAGCCACTGAAAACTGGTAGTTCCGACCTGGGTTCAATTCCAGACAAACGGGCTGGCTGCATGGTCGTTTTCATGGTTTTAATCATGTGTAATGTGTATATGAGCCAGTTTCCCTTTTAAAAAAATCAACAGCGAAAGTATCCTTCCCCTTTGGCAGATAGCCCGGTGTGTTTTGCCATAATCACAATAAAACAAACCAAACCTTGTACAAGGAACAGAAGTTTTCATGTGCTTTGTATTTAAACATCCCACAGAAATCAGCAAGAAGTTACACTGATCTGCTTTCTGAGGATCTGCCCATTTTCATCAAAGTTATTCCATTACTGCATTGTGTTTTGCTAGTTTTCTGTTTATTAATTTTACACTGCTTTACAATAAGAAAATGTTTTGGTTTTATATTGAATACAATAGCCTCTACAAGAAGGACTTTCAAGACAGAGACTGTCAAGCAAAGATTTTCAAGAACTTCGAACTTTTCTAATTATTGCAAACTTTTAAAAATGGACTGCAATTTTCAATAGAACTCTGAAATTTGTATCAAAAAGGTTATATTCAAAATTTTGCTAAAAAATTTCATGTTATCCCCCCTCTAAAAGTATGTAGTTCACTTATTTTGCCAATGCTCTAATGCTTTCTATAACATCTTTTCTATCGCTAATCCTTTTAACCTCTTTGAAGGGGAGAGGGAACATGTAAGATTAAAAAAAATATGAAACTCAAAATTATCAACTTTAATTTGGTTACATCTCCTTCCTGCCTTTAAAAATACAAATATATTAATCTAAAGTGTGTTATCTGAAAATTAATCCATTTCCTGTTTATGTAATCATGCTGCAATGTGGTGAACTATCAGTCAAACATATTAAAGAAATTTTTGTCTATAAATACCATGCTACTATTGCAAAAGCCATTTTTTCTTCCTTTCACTTACTGCTGGCAAAACACACTTTCGCTGTGCTTTATTTATTGTTTCAAGCTATGAAAGATATGCAAAATAATTGGGTATATCTCATACACAATACAATGTGCGATAAACAATTTGTAAAGAATTAAGTGTTGAAAAATAAATTGTGTCTTGTTAATTTCCACCAGAACTACTGGTTTTCCTTCGTTATGCATCTCAAATAACTATGCAGTAAAGACTCTCCAAGTTATTATAATGCCAAGATCAATAACCAATCCATTGTTTATTCTACAAATCATCCCATTACACACACAGGGTGTCTAAGAAATGGAAATTTTTGCCCCTTTCTTGCAGTTTGCCTTTTTAGTTATTGCACATGGTTTATTCTGAACTCAAAAGGAACGAATTTTAAAAATATTATTTATTTTAATTTACACACACACATGTTTGGATATGATAGCATATAGAGATTAGATAAGAAAAGATACAGCAGAGGTTATTTATAATTAAAAGGATTTAAATCTCCTTACCATGAAAAGCAGCTGCAAACTTCTCAAAATATTTTCCAGATACATCTATCTGGTCTACGAATGTTTGAAGGAGGCAGTGGAGTAAAAAGCTGGATTTCGAATGAGATGCCATAACGATTTTAGATATTTGGTGCCAAAATTCCTTTTCACAGCAGTACTGAAGAAAATTCTTGACACATCTCATTTCCACTTTTTGTGAGTCAATTTCAGGCAGAAGTTCAAATATCCGGAAGGCACATTCATCATCACAGTTTCCAGCTGCACACTTATCAAGCACTGTACAACACATATCCACAGGCAAATCAATATAGCAGCAAACATTTTTCACATACAACAAAAAATGTAAAAGCTCATCAATGTCCACATTACTTGACCTTAAATATCCAGCATATGGATCGAAAACTTCAGGCTTAAGAGGAATATTCATATCAATGCATGATTTAAACAACTCCACAAACAAAGCTTCAAAATCTAATTCAAAACAGTTTTTAATGACTAATGTGGATAGATTTTCATCATATAATGAAAAATCTTTCATCAACCCAATTGTATTCACCATGAAATCATGCTTAGTGGAGTAAGCTATATTGTTGGATGGCTCTTTGATGCATTTCACCACATTTAAAAACAATTCTTCAAAAATATATTTTTTGATTTCTGGCAAACTTACTGCAATGTACTGCTTTGCAACATCTATAGCTTTCATAATAAATATATGCTGACAATTATTTCGGATAGCATCTATCACTCCTTTTACATCTTTGAAATGATCATCAGATATCTGTAAATAAAACATATATTATTAATATTTCTCATCATAACAAAGAATTAAGATACATTCTAATACAGCCAACTTTTCATATAAAGAAGTTAAATTTCATATTCTGTAACTAAAACTGGTACAAAATGAATAAAATTATAGGGATGAATTTAATAAATAACTGTGATGAAGTACACACTTTTTATTTTTAACTTTCTCAATAGTTACTTTTTTGTACTACTTGGTCTTAAAATGCTCTATACATCTATAAACTAATTAAACAGCTTTCCTTTATTGCTTTTTTGAAACATGGCATAAAAATGAGATTACTGATCCTCTTTTGAATCATCTTAGAATCATTACTCCTGTCAACAGCTCAAGATGGAGGTGGTGGGGAGTTCATTACTCCTTTTGTTATTTTTTGCAAGGCTTAATTAAACAACATTTTTCAATTTGAAAATTCAAATGACATGTTTGCTATTTTATATATATAGACAATATCTCCAAAATCATACCTCCTTCATATTAATCTGAACCTACATTTTAATCTCGGATTTTGGTTTCATTTTAGATTTTGCTATATTATACATTTCTCATTTCAGTTTTTAAATGATTCTATTAAATTTCAAGCAGTATGGATAAAACCAAACTATTTTACTTTTTATTAGCATTTAAATTGAAAATGATCATTTTTATTCCACAAATAACACACTACTAAATATGAAACTGACTGAAACCCTAAAGCTTCTGGTTTACCATTCACAGAAGTTATCTTATTTCTGTAATTGTAATTACAAATAAAAATGATCAACAATTCTTAATTATTTTTTCCACCATAATATTTTTCATTTTAAGTTTGTCTTTTACCTCACACTGTATGGAGTGGTGACTTATTACAGTACACTAACGTTCACTTTGTCTACTTTCCTCAGGAAAAGATATCCTTTGTGGAGCAGTTTCTAAAAGAAGTGGGTTTCTGGCTAGTATTCTCGTTACACATGCAAAAAGCCATGAAAACACATTGTTTACAGGAATTTGCACTGGAAACGAACTACTAATATTCCACAATTTTGTCTACTTAGCCACTGGTGGGTTTCATGTGCACATTTTGTTTGGAAAAATAATCTAGCTTCACCATCAGTAAAAACACAGATCATATTTCAGTAGGATTGGCTTTGGTTAGGTCATCCGGTACTTTTCCGTTTTGCCGGCACAAACGATAAAGTCGCCAGTAATGGTACAACTCATGCCAAAATGGAATATCTTTGCTGGCAATCTTTTACGCTTCATTTTCAAAACAAGTCACAGGGATTTCTTATCAGATTGATTGTTTCTTTCAATACTGGCATACAATTACATAGAATGTTTACAAGATAGTTAAATTTTATGCCCTAAGACCATTCACGGTAATTAAGTTAATTAGGATACAATCACACCGCTCACCCGAAGATATAGAATTGGCAAAATCAAGGGTTAAATTCATCAATTCTAACGAGAATGCACTAGCAAAGTAAAGCACTGCGGTTTTACATAATTTCTGAGTAAGCTATTTGTACGAATTGAAATAATTCTCACATTTAAACTTGTATTCCAAATTAAGATTTAACTTGTAATTTATGTAGATAATTACTGAGAGAATTAGATTTTGTAGCGTAGTTTACGTGAGATGAGATCACTTGGGGTCGCGTGATTCGAATCGGGATGTTGAACCATGAAAGCGTAGTAAATTCTTAAATTAATGTCTTTTTACAAATTTATTGTCTTTATTTATTGGCTTTTTTGCTTGGCAAGATTTGCGCCGGCAAAAAGGAAAAGTACCAGTCATCCATTCTTTAATAGTCATATCAAAAACAAATGCCAACTTTCCTACCCATCTACTGATGATAACTAAGAGCTTATAAAGCTTTGAACTTAATACTTCATCAGGTATTTAGCTTTAAAGTCAAGGAGTCAGAAGTTCAGTTAGAAAGAATTTGGTCCTAGAGTCTTCGACTCAACTAAAGTAATGGCTCTTAAATATTAAGATTATGGGCACAAAATTTTTACTAATTCTTCTTTTTTGCATACAAGATTAGACCTATTTACATGTAAGTATTAAATACAAGAATGCCATTCAAGATCAACACAGCTAACCAACCATGTTCAAATGAATGCAAAATTATATCTTTTTTTTAGGTTTTGAAACAGTTATATACAGTCAAAAGTCTTTAATCCGGACGTCCATAACCCAGAATGATCTATAATCCGGACTTCAAAGCTACAAACTTTCTGCGCATGCGTAAACGTATTATGCATGCGCATAATACGTTAATGCATGTGCGTTTAATGTATAACGGACGGTATAAGCTATTATCTAATTCAGTTAATGTAGCAGATTGCGTTGTTCCTTAATCTTCTAATTGGATCCGGCTTATTATTTTTTGCAGACTATTAGAGCAGTTTTATAAAAGTAGGCTTGACCTTTATTATGTCAAAAAAAATTTCTGATTCTGGAGCTGCGAAAGGATCTACAAAGTGAAAGCATGTTTCGATGTCCATCAAACAAAAAGTGGAATTACTGCAAAAAATGGATAAAGGCATATCCTTTGTTTCTCTAACCATTCCGAAATCTGTTTATTAATTTCACGCTGCTCTGTGGGAGAGGGGACGTCGCAGTGCGCAACAAACTGGAAGTTGATCTGTCAGCACTATCCTCATCTTCAGGGCAGATGTTTTTATTTTATTCGGCTTATAATTCCTTACTAAATGCTGTATTTCATCTCGATGTACTCCGTCTTTGATATGATTTAAATCAAATTCCTCATCATTATAAATATCACGAATACACATAAAATAGTTTTCTGGTTGCAATTTTCTAATTTCGACTACGCGTAATGTATGCTTTAAGCACGCACGCGTTGAAAGAAATGTTTAATAAAGTAAAGAAATAAATATTAAGCTTTTTTTTTTGTAAATTTTGATACCCTTTAGATCATAATTGCTCTTTATTTCATAAATTACGGTTTCATATTTTTAATTTTATAATTTCTGCATGCCACCTTACCAGACTTAAACTGATGATCCATAATCCGGAATCGCCGAAGTTCCGATTAAAGACGTTTCCGATTAAAGAGTCCGGATTAAAGACTTTTGACTGTATTCAACTTTGTAGTTGGTTAATAGGGCTGACCTCGAGTGATGCACGTGTAAGATAACTAGTATGTAAACAAGGCCATATTTGCCTGCACATAAAAAGCTGAAAAGCATACTGTGCAGTAATGTCCATTGTCTTTTGGCAACAGCTTCAATTGATAAAGCTTTAATTTTGTTATCAGGCTATATATTCACATTATACACCCTTAAGAAAGTTCTGCTTTGAATAGAAAATAAACTGTAATAGTAAAGGATTTATATTTTCTTTCCATGGATGACAATGATAAAATAACAAACTAAATTTTTCGCATCACAAGCAAAAATGTATAAAAGAAAATTTAGAGCAAAACACATAAATATACAATCAGACCAAAAAATAAAGGGCAGCTCTATTTCTTTCATACTAGCTGGCCGATCAATGAAATTCAACTTGCGTTTATGTCTCAAAAGTGTGATTTCAGATTTATAAATACAATGTTGTTCCAACATATGTATTTTGATGTAAAATTCACTTTTCCTGAAATGGGCCAATTTTTTCAAATATTTCCATTTTACACTTCAGATTATGACAGAGCGTTAAGTTTTGTAAAAATTGCAGTCGAATATTTAAAAAAAAAAAAAATTAACACACAAAAGTTTAACTTCACAATGTTAATTTAAATTTGGCATATATTTAATAATATCACTTTTTAAATTAAACTTTTGGTTTCTTCTTTCAGAATTTAAAAGTTAGATTTAACCTCCAACAAAATTAAACATTTTCCCTCTTTTTATTTTAAAAATTTGTAATTTTAAATATTTTTATAAAATTTTCAAAGAAATTTTGTATAAACTAAATTTTTTTTGCTTTCTTCACAAAGCAAATGTCTTTCTAGACACAGCTGCTAAAATTGCAGTTTTTCATTCAATATTTCTGGAGATATATGTGATATTAAAGACAGGCACATTTTAAAATTTGGAATATTTGTTGCATTTTACTGAGTTCTTCAGTGGAGAAGTGCGCTTGTTTCCTCGCATCCTGGATTTTTACAAATGGCGTGCAACCCGTCACTGCTTTGTAACATAGGCCTGTGGGTAGGGATGAGATATGGCTAATGTGGCTGGCTAGGACTCATCCTTGACTGGTTTCCCGCATACTCTGTCAAAAAGTTCATTCATGATGGTGGTATTACCATCATGAATGAACCTGCAGACCATGTATATTAGTTTGCTTACCCCTGCTAAATGGGTGTAATGTGCTGTCACAATCTTCAGTGAATTACAACTGATATTTTTTACCTTAAGTTTCTGAATAAACTTTTTCTGAAGATTACTCAGATGGAACTTCTTCATTTTTATCTTTAAAAATTTATAATAACAGGGGGACTGGAAAGTAATGTCACTTTCTTACATTAAATTCAAATGAATAAATTTTTAACAAGTTTTTTTTTATAATCAATAATATAATCACCCTCATTATCAACAACCTTTTGCCACATAGTGTGCAGATTTTAAATCCCGGTCCGATACAAATCAATTGGTTTTTGAGTAAAATATCTCGAGATGGCACTTTGGACATCATCCAAATTTTCTGCCACTAAGAAAATGTTGTACGGATTGGAATAAATGGAAATACGAGGGTGTGATATCGAACGAGTATGGTGGGTGCCCACCATACAAAAAGGGCATGATACTAACTGGGCAGGATATACCAAAGCCTTAAACAATACCACACTTCCCATTCCAACAGCACACACAGGCGATGAGTTAGATGCATTGGTCACCAGCTTCACAAATGATCTGCTAAACGATTTTGATGCCAACAGCATTCCTATTCAACAAAGGAAAAAAGGCCACAGATCCTGAACTTAAAAAGCTCATCCAGAGAAGAAATGCTGCATGCAAAGAAT